CATTATAACAAGGGCCATGGTGCCATTCACAAAACTGTCCTTTGTAGCATAGACATCCTGACATTTTGTTGTTGCTATTCATTTTTAAGTTCACTCTGACCTACAGCAACCAAATCATTGGTGTTATCAACATTTATTCAGGGGAGGTTTGCTGTTGCCTTCCTCTATAGCTGAGAGTGTGTGACTTGCTCAAGGTCACAGAGTGTTAAATGGCTGAATAGGTATCTGAACAATTTCTTTTCCATTTGTTCTCTCCTGAGCTATGGATATTATTAGCTTTATTAGCTTTATCTTGCTTTAGTCCTCTGGAGACAGATTGGATTTCTCACTGACTGCCACCTCTAACCCAGCAAGCAAAGTCAATAGCTATAGAACTAGCATCTAAAGTGCTCCGATTTTCCCACATCTGATTTACAACCCCATATCTAGCTGTTCATTATCAGCAGCATGTTCCACTGACTTCTATGGGACTTTATTCCAAAAAGGCCTACCTTGGTCAGCAGTTAGTATAGCTAATCTCCTAGGGTTCATCTATACTGTAGAATTAATGTAGTTTCACTACACTTCAATTGCTTTGCTCAGTTGTATGGAATCATGGGGATTGTAGTTTGGGGATTGTAGTTTGGTAAGACACCAGGACTCTTTGGCAGAGAAAGCTAAAGACCTTGTAAAACTTGTAAAACTACAACTCCCAGGATGTCCTAGTATTGAATCCTGAAATTCAAATGGTGTCAAACTGTATTGATTCTACAGTGTTAGGTGCACCCCCAGATACTACCTGACAGTTGGTTACTTGTCTCGTCCACAGTATAGACTTCATTTTCTTATCCTACCATATCTCTTAGACTATAAAACCATCTTCTCACTCTTTGCGATTATCATGTATTAATGATCCCTCACTGCCAGGCAAGATAAGAATGAGAGTTGGTGTCCTTGACCTAAGACAAACAACACTCTAATTTCCAAGGCCGTAATATGATAAACATTGAGAAAGTTAGTCTGCTGAGGTTTTGTATTAGCCTCAAATATTACCTGCCCCAACATGAAAACTGGAGTGACAAGAAGCCCTTCACACAAAGATGAAGAAACAATATTGCACTCAGGTTGTAAACTTTATAGGAGAAGCATCATGAGATTCCATGTGCTAGCATTTGATAATATTTTAATGATTTCAAAAACTGTCAGGCAATAAACCTGTAAGTTAAGACAGCATGAGGACTAGAAGCAAATTAGTTGTGCAATTTGGACAAAGCTTGACACCTGGGGATTCTGAGAGTTAATATCCAAGGAAGTTACATCTCCAAACTCTGGATCTGGAACAACTTAATAGAATAGTCTGCTTCCAGATTTATCACATGTCATCATAAAGGGTATTTTCAAGGCCATCTCCTGGAGGGAGGGATCCAGTAGATTCAAATGTAAACTAATGGAATTGTAGCTTGTTCTGACTGTCGATCTAATAAGTAGCTGTGAAAAAGGCAAATTTTATGTTGAAGATGAATGTAGAAACAAAGACTTTCAAAATTATATTGCTTTTTGAAAAAATGTATAGTACCACCTTACTTGAAATCATTGCATAAGTTGTTGATCATTTGTTTCTGTGTTCCTTCAGTTCATTTCCAGCTTACACCAACCCGAGAGTGAAATAATAATGGTTTTTCCTAAACAAGGTTTATTTAGAGGACTTTTTCATGCCTTCCTTTAAACCTGCAGTATAGAATGAGTGCAGTTTGTAGCCACTCCACCTTTAGTAGTTGAATGGAAATTAGTTAGGCCCTAGCACTATTGGGCACAGAGCTTAATACCTTGTAAAACTAGAACCTCCATGATTCCATAGCATTGAGCCATAGCAGTTAAAGTAGTGTCAAACTGTATTATTTCTGCATTTTTTAATCTGTTGCTTCCAAACCACTGATTAGGATTAATAGACACATGGAGACAAGTTCCCATTGTGAACATCCATATTGCACTTTGCCTAGTACTGGCGTACAGACTGCCACTGTGGGGGTACAAAGTATAAAGGTTAGAAGGAATCGCCGCCAAAGTTAGAGGCTATCAAAGCAGAGGCCCAGGACTGAAGCACTTCCATCAACAGAGAATTTGCCAGAATTGCAAAATACTTCAGGACACTAAACACACACTTGGGACATTTCTCTGATTGGCACTAAACTCAGACAGTACACATGGGCCAGCAGGGCAGAGGGTGAGGCAAGCATGGAAGAATAACCCCTCTTTCCATATCTTGTGCAGAGGTTGCAAAAAACAAAATGAGAAAGGACTTTAAAACTTTCCACTCTTTGGCACAAAAATGGAGGACGTGATATATAACATTATAATGATGCTAGGAAGGCAGTTACTTAAAATTGTCAGGGAGTGGAGGGAAATAGCCAAAAAGATTCCTCTTTCAGTTGGGAGAAGTAAGTCATGAAAGTACTCATCTAATAAAGGAAAAAAGCAGCTAATTCATGCTAAATAGATATTAGGTTGCCATGACCTTTGTTCCCAAATCTAACCAGACTTCTTTGAATATTATGCAAAATACTTGCTAATTTAGGAATTTTATGTCTGTCACTTTGTGTTGGCCGCTGGAAAGAACATTAAAAAAAGTAAGATGACTGAAAAAAACATGTTTCTCACACATCAAGAAAATTTGATGAAAAGAACCATGGCCTGGACTGAATCTTCACAGTTCGGGACACATTGTGCACAAAATTCTCATTTGTACAGAAAACAGCTTTTTTTCTGCAAACACCCACATGCACATTTTCATCAAAACAAGTGCCAAATATAAAATAGCCTTTAAAAACCCCTGTTTTATTTTAACAAAAGCAGGTGTGGCTTTTTATTGGGCATGCTTTAAACATCTTTTAATTTTTTATGATTCCTAAATGTATTATGTGATTGTAATTGTTTTTAGATTATGAGGTAAATATTTTAAAATTGTTTTTGGAAGCCGCATTGGATTCCACTCTGGGAGAAAGGTAGTATATAAAATAAATAAATGAATGATAGAAATAAACCTATGCCCTATGTCATTTTTCAAATTTCAAAGAAGTCTTCACATCAGAAAATCTACATATTGATTCCTTCACACACAAAAGGAATAGTAAAGAATTGCATCTCTTCCTATTATATTGACCATTCTCTCTCCTGTAACCTAGGTCACCTGTCCTTTAAGACTGGTTAAAGCACTGGTTCTCAACCTCTGAGTCCCCAGGTGTTTTGGCCTACAACTCTCAGAAATCACAGTTAGTTTACTAACTGTTAGGCATTCTGGGAATTGAAGGCCAAAATATCTGGGGGCCCACAGGTTGAGAACCACTCGGTTAAAGTATGGTGAAGTATCTGGTTAGCTTTTATCTCCTTTTATATTTTTGGGAAAGGGTTGTGTGGATAGCCAGCAGAAAGATAGTGAGAGGGAGTCAGAAATAGAGTGGCGTGACTGAAACAACAGTGAACTACTGAAGCTTGGATTACTAAAATTCCCTCTGCAATTAAAAGTACAGAACATTGTTCATTTGTTTATGTAATCACCTTGTTTGTGAGATCCTCTGTTTAAGGCACCAAAGCATCTTGACTGTCCTTGGGTATATGCACTTTAAGAACATAAGAGCTATGATGGAGTAGACAAAAGGTTTATCTAGTCCAGCATCCTGTTTCATAATGTTCAACAATGCAAACACAGAAGCACCCACTAATGTGTGCTGCCCCAGCAATGGGCAAAAAGAAGCCTGAGTACTACTTGAAATCTAATTTGACTGGAGACTACATATGAAGACATTATAAATACCACTGAAAGTGGTAGGAAAATAATGTGTTTTATTGGTTGCTTTGAACCAATCAAACAGGCTTCTAGCATTATAGTAAATCTGTATGTTCTTGCACAAAATTACCCATGGTGTGAAGCATTCCTAAATGGGTGAGTTAATAAATCAAATAAATCCCTATGCTGGATAGAATAAAAACATGTCTGCTTTGCTTTTTTAAAAAAGAAAAAGATTAAGCTACCATACGTCAGAGCTTAGTAAAATCCTTTTTTAACTGGAACTCCCAGAATGCCCATTCATCAGATCCTGAAAATGTCACCTTTCAGTCTACAGATCCAGAGACATCCAGTTACTATCAATATTGACTGGATATTTAGTGAGCTTTCTAAAATAGTCACATTTCCAAACTCTACCATTCCCAGTAGTTCAAATCAATTCACTGGGTAGAAGGTTCTGATCTCTTTGAAGTCCAAATGGCCAAATTACAAAATAAGCAATTACTGTCAATCCAAAAATATACCTTCTCTCCATATTTTGTGACAGTTGTGACACATCAAATCATAAAGATCTATTTGCACTTTTTTGTTTTGTTATAGGATTGATTAAAGCCCAACAGAAATGGTTGGAGCTCCCCTTAAGCGAAGCCTTAGATATAAGCTTTTGTTCAACATTGTTTGCTTTTATTAAAGGTCTAATGTATGTATTTTATAATGCTGTTTTAAATGTTATTTTAGTTACATATTGTTGAAGGCATTGAATGGCTGCTTTGTAAAGCCGCCTTGAGTCACCTTCGGGCTGGAGAAAGGCAGGGTAGAAATGTCGCAAATGAATAAATTATTAATTTAATCAATGACATCAGGGAGTTTTTACCTTCTCTGAAATCATATTTAGATAAATGGAAAGTTGCTTTAGATTTATGGTAAATGTATTGTTATTTTCTCATGCTGTGAACCTGTAAACCTAAAACCTCAGAAAAACATGGAAAACCTTACTCAACAAATGGGGAAATAATATGCAGTGCCTGGTGAGTTTCTTGTTTGTTGTGTTAAAAAGGAAGTTACATATGTACCAAGTCTCTTGCACCATACCCTACTGACAAGTAGAATCATTGTGAAAATATGGCAATTTCAGTTAAGAGACATCATCCTATCTGCTCAATAGCAAACACATAACTGCTGCCACTGCTACTGATCATGCTTGTTTCCCCTATGGATAAAAACATTTATATCTTACTTCCCCATATGGAGTGCAGTAAGTTTCTGGCTGGACAAGTCCACAGGTAGAAGAGGCTTTCAAGTGATGGATTCTTCCAATAAGGAGATCTCGAACAGGTGGGTAACACGCCCCATGTAAGCAGGCATTCTGCACAATCAGGAGCTGCGGGGAGACTGAGAGATGGGAATAAGAACCGAACTTTAATTATGCCATTAAATAAGTCAAAAGAGAATCACAAAAGTCACCTCTAGCATGGTGTTTGAGCACTTGACTATGTGTCCGGAGGCTTGGCTTCAATTCCCTGCTCAGCTAATGAAACCCATGTAATGATGTTGGGTAAATCTCAATTCCAGAAAATGTAATGATAAGTTAGCCCTACGGTTTTCTTAAAACAGAAACAACTTAAGGCATACAACAACAAAAGCTCAGTTGCCTCATAGAAACAACCGGAGACAAAATGGCAGATGGTATAGTTCAGTTGATGTAAAAAATTAGGAAGCCTTATGACCAAGATTGATTTAAGATGCAATCCTACACAATGGAGAAGCAGACACTCTTTTTCTTTTTTGAAAGGCTACATTTCCTCTTGGTCTCTAGCAGCTGGTGGCTCTTTATGCCACTGGGTGGTGAATTTAGATTGACAAATTAATGATCTGATAGCCCATCTGAGACACTGCCAGTTTTACTCTAAACTTTAAAGGAGCTATCCACAGAGTTAAACGCCATCCCCAAAAGGAAAACCTTGGATAATCCCTTTAAATGTGCTAGTTCAATTATATTTTTAATTTTGTATGAGAGGAATTTTAAAGCCATATCTGTTATAGTATTTGTAAGGCACTTGAGTCTTGAGCTAGACAAAAGCACGATATACATATATGTATTGCTTTACTCTCAGTGCATGGATAACTGGATGGATGCTAAAGCCATGCATTTCCATTGGCCCTGCTTCTGTTTACACTTCCCCACAACCTTCCACAATGTTAATCACATGAGGTAATAAAATTCAAATACATGCCCAATTATCCGGTTTGATCTAGGAAGCTATGTAGGTTCAGCCCTGATTAGAGCCAATGAATACTTGGTGCTGTAGGCTATATTAAGGAGCTTTCCTGCCCTGGCACAGCTGGGGAGGGAAAGAGGTTTTCCTCCTTCCCTGAAGGGAGAGCAAATAGTTCCGGCAGGGAATATTTTTTAGGTGCTGGAACCAGGGTTCTAGCCCCAGCCTACCTCCTCCTTCATTCATCTGCCGACCACCCACCCACCACTCTCACCCATTAAACAGTATATTACGGTTGCTGTTAGGGGGCCAGGTAAGCATCTTTTCCCTCCTCTGTTCTTCACCTACCCTATACTGTTTCAGGGAAAATAGGGGTGGCATGGCTTTAAATAGGTTGTCACAGAAAGCAGTTAAGAAAAGCTAATAATTTGGTGTATACCCGGGACCTTCAGGGGTGAAGGCCATTATCTAAAACACTCGCCTTAGGTTCAGTTGTTGAGGTGAGGTGAATTCAAATGGCCTAGGAATGGGGAGAGACTGGCCTCAGATATCTTGAGTGAGACTTCTCCGACACATTTCCCCTAGAGATTGCCCGAATTAGGTTTCCAGGGGACCCAGGTGTTCCACTCAACCTAGCCAAGGCGTAGGCTGGGCAGGGATGCTACCTCGGCTTAGCCACACCAAGTTCACGATCCATAGATTTAGATCCAGTTAAAGTTAAATAGGTAACCATTAATAAAAGTTGCCCAAATTTAAACCCAAGTACTGTTGTGTGGTCTCGTTATTTTGGGGGTTGGCAGGCAATGAAGATTAAACATAGAAACCCACCTGTGAATATTCTTTGCCTAAGAAAACCCTATGAAATTCACAGGGTCATCATAAACCGGAAGGCAGCTTGAAGGCACATACACAGGACAGGATTGGAAAAAAGGCTAAGCATTAGCCTATTTCTGATACCTACCATGACCATTACCAGATTGCATTTGTAAGCAGTTTCTGCAAATTTTGCATATTGTTATCCATTGCTGAAATTAATTGTCTGTCATTTTAAGTCAGTTTTAAATAAAGATTATATGCACACAAATTTGGAAAATACAATTTAGCTTGGACTTTCCCATTAACAATAAATAATTGATACAAAATCAATACAAAATTATATGTTGTTGTTTTTTAAAGATACTTGTTTAGGGAACACTTACCTAGGACAAAAAGCAAGATCCTCCACATGATGATGAGATTCCACAAAACCCAAAATTCTCCTGAGATGGAAATAAAACACAAATTTAATAGCATATAGATTATTTATTTATTTATTTATTTATTTACTTTACTTGTATACCGCAGTTTCTCAGCCTAACAGGCGACTCAACGCGGTTTACAACAAAGGTACAACAGTCAACAATATACAATTTAAAACCATAAAAGCATAATATACAATATTGACACAACAATAACAACCCAATGCATCTCATGACTAAAATCGTGATCCAGTTTCGTCGTCCATATTACCATTCCTGTAATCATCACATTCATTGCACTATGGCATGAGAAAAAAAATGATCTATCAGCCTTGTAATTCCTGTAATAACATGCCATTTCACTGTTGTTGTACTGTATTAAGGCCCTTTCAACCTTAATTTATCACCTACCTCTTGCACTTTACCATCAGCCCTTGTTCGGGCAGTTGAATTGCACAAGGCTTCCTTCGCCCCTCAACTTGGGAATACCCATTATGCTTGGCTGCTGGTTGTTGTATGATGAATTATGTCTTTAATTATGTGTTATGATGTTTGTATATGTATTTTATTTTGTATATTTTATTCTGTTTGATTGGGCTGAGACCCCATGTAAGTCGCCCTGAATCCCTTTGGGGAGATGGTGGTGGGATACAAAAATAAAGTTGTTGTTATCAACATCATTATTAGCCTAAAAGTGCCATAAATAAGTATATAATTGAATTCAGCACTATACGGAACTGAAGGTTCAAGGTGACAGAAAACAGCTGGAAATCCAAACATATATATCCTAAAACCTCATAAATGTCCCCTTGACCTCATAATAATATTAAAACTTTATTTGTATCCTGCCCTATCTCCCTGTGGGGACTCAGGGTGGCTTCCAACACAACAGGCAAACATTCAATGCCTATATAAAAAGAAAACCATAAAAAATAAAGAACAATACAAAACATTAAACACTAAATTAAAATAAGCAATTATATTAAATAATAATCATTATGGCATTCCATTGTGAACACTGCTTTAGAAAAAAGCCCAGCTGTGTGAGCAATAAGGGATGTGTTATGCCAAAAATGTCCCCTTTAATTAATTAAATAGGAAAATTTATTCCTGAAGGGAATCTTTCTGCTGTATCTGAACATAGTGATGTTATTTGAGATGTTCTTCCCTTTTCAACATCAGTAAATAAATAAACATTGTTTGGTTGGTTTTTTAATTTGCTTTGTATTAAATTTATCAAAGTGTGTGACTGTAAGCTGCCCGGAGTCCCCTCGGGGAGGAAGATGGGGTATAGGTAAAGGTAAAGGTAGTCCCCTGACATTAAGTCCAGTCATGTCTGACTCTGGGGTGTGGTGCTCATCTCCATTTCTAAGCCGAAGAGCCAGCGTTGTCCGTAGACACCTCCAAGGTCATGTGGCCGGCATGACTGCATGGAGCGCCGTTACCTTCCCGCCGGAGCGGTACCTATTGATCTACTCACATTTGCATGTTTTCGAACTGCTAGGTTGGCAGAAGCTAGGGCTGACAGCGGAAGCTCATGCCGCTCCCCGGAATCGAACCTGCGACCTTTCGATCAACAAGCTCAGCAGCTTAGTGCTTTAAACCACTGCGCCACCGGGGGCTCCCAAGATGGGGTATAAATAAAGTAAATTATTATTATTATTATTATTATTATTATTATTCACATGGCTTACTGTTATAGTTGACACTCTGTATACACAGATTCCACATCAATAAATTTGCCTATCCATAGCTTGAAAATTCAAAAAGCTAACTTTGTGCCATTTTATATAAAGGACACAATTTTACTCTATCATTACATATAATGAGACTTGAGCACCCACAATTTTTGGTATCCATATGGAATCAAACCCCAGGTGATATCAAGGTGTATTTTATGTAAGCTCAGGCAAAAGACATGCACATCCCAATTTTCACTGCCACTTCTCTTTATGAAGGAGAAAAAGTGATCTCAAAACATAGTTCAAAGGTGCACTCCTCAGTCACAGACCAAGGTTGATTCTTCTCAATTCACTTTTTACTCATCGCTTTTGCTCAACATCTCTGTAGAAGTACAGCTTGAACAAAGACTTTCACCGAAGAACTAATATCCATAGTTTAGCCCTTTTGTTTGTTTTGTTCCTTTCAGAGAATAAATAAGTACTCAATTTCTATACAGACTTTGGAGAACTTGATTCTGCTGTGACAACCATGGTAACTGTGGAGCTACAACTTCAGGCAAATACAGAGAATGCACTTGTGTAGATCTAGAAAGCAAGTAAACACATCATTTTCTGAAATATTGCCTACAGCATGCACCATTTCCTTTCACTTTAGTTCTATTGCTTTGTGAAGTGCGAGCCTTCACTCTAGATACCAAAATTAATTCTCCTTACCTTTCAGCAAAGCAGAAAACCTTTTCTGGGTAAGAGAATCTAAATCGACAGAGTAATTCTTCCAGTTGCTGCTACCAAATCACTATGAGTTGATAGTCTGTTGAAAACACACCAGTAATTTCTCACCTATGATTCAGAAACACTTTGTTGCAGATGCAATGCCAAGGGGGTAATTTTCATCTCCCCACATCCCACTTACTCTGAGCCAGATATTTTCTACTCTCATAGACAGAAGTCCACCTAAATCCTGCACTTGGTCTCTGGAACTCTTTCGTTTTTAAATCTGCCTCACCTGGGCAAGTAAGTTCCTGTGGGTGTTGCAGTAATGATAAAAGCAGTGATTCAAGGATCTCTTCAGACAGACACACCTATTTACAGTATAACTCATTATACCTCATAGACAGTGAGCGCATGTCGAACTAGCAATCTTTTTAACAATGTATGGAATGGACACAATTATTCTGACGTATGAATTTACCTTCTGCGGCTGTAGTATTGCAAAGCTGAAGCATTTTTTTTATATTCTTGCTTCTCTGAAGTTTTCTTCTTTTTTAAAAAAAGTTTTGATTGACTGTATTAATGGCATACAGAATATAGAAATGAAAACATCTGGAGATAATAAAATACAAAGAATCCAGGTACAGCTATCTATAAACCATAAGAAAATGTTTTTGTATTAATAATATTGGAGTTTTTTAGCTCTTCAAGCTTCTTTCCTCAGACAAGCATTGGGGGGGAGGGGGGAGAGAGAAGGACACATTTCCCAGTTTGGATTCTTCAAACAATGTTATAGGCAAAGCAACTCAAAGCCTGCTTCTTGGCAGGAGTTTGGTCTGGATGGAACATGAGGTCTCTTTCAACTCTATGTTTTTACATTTTGTGCATTCAGAAGCAATATTTCTTGAAAACAGTTCTCAAAAATATCTCTTGCTTAAAAACCAGTTAATAGATCCAATTCATTCATATACCAAGTTTATTCAAGGAATAGAACAATAGTGATAATACAATCTAACTTGTATTTTTTTAGGTGACTCACTCAATACACATTGTCCTGCATTTTGTTTCAAATTTATTCACATTACACAGGGCAATGATGCATAAATCTTTCAACTGAAATGCACTTTGAAATTGCCATTCAAGGAGTCAAATGATGCTACTATATCTGGAGTGTGCTTTTCCCCTATGGGATAGACACAGATAATTGCGGTTACCCCATACATTTGCATGTCGGGATCTGTACATGCAACATGAGCATTTCATAGAGACATTTATGTCAGCACAGGAGAGCCACTCTGGAGAATATGTAGCCCTCTAGATGTTCTTGCTCTGCAATTCTCATTAGGCCTACCCAGCAATGGAAGGCTGGATCTACACTGGCCTATAATCCATTTTTTTAATCTAGATTATCTACTTTGAACAGGATTAAATGAGTCTGCATTGCTACATAATCAAATTCAAAGCAAATAATCTGGATTCAGTAACTGGATTATATGGCAGTGTAGATAGGGCAGAAAATCGTGGGAGTGTCTAACCAAAAAAATCTGGCCATGTTCTCCATTTCAAATTAAGAGGATGGAAAGATATTTGTCAAAAACATAATGTGTAAGCTTTATTTAAATGCCACTACTGCTTCAAAAACCTAGTTAACGGAATGCACTTCAAACTGAGTTTTACACTTCAAACTGAGTTTGAAGCAATTGAAGCAAGGTAGGATAAAGGAGAAACATGGAAAGAGAAGAGAAAAATGGGCATTTTAAAGCTGAAAAAGTGGGCTGAAAGGGGCTTAATCAGAACTGTCCCTATCAAATTTGGAAAATAGATGGTACTTAAACTATATGATAAAGGGAAAGGTTTCCCTTGACATTAAGTCTAATCATGTCCAACTTGGGGGGGGGGGGTGTTCATCTCCATTTCTAAGCCAAAGAGCTGACATTGTCCATAGATGTCTCCAAGGTCATGTGGCTGGCATGACCGCATGGAACACCATTACCTTCCTGCTGAAGTGGTACCTATTGGTCTACTCACATTTGCATGTTTTCGAACTGTTAGCTGGGGCTAACAGTGGGAGCCTATCCCATTCCCCAGAAGTCAACAAGTTCAGCAGCTCACCGCTGCACTACCGGGGTTTCCTAAAATACAGGATAGGAACCAGTAAAATGAGTGAGTGAAGCACAGCCATTAGGTTGCTTATAGTGCCTAAACTGTATTCAGTAGCCCTGGGCTGTGTTGCATTTCTTATTCTCCCTCTAAGTTCTCCTTTTCAGGTAAAAATGAACTGTAAAATCTCATTTCTACTCCAGAACACTGTCTTCTTTGATGATAGATCTCAGAGACCCCAGTGCCCCACCGCCTACCTACCCACGTGCACCCATTGGAAGAACTGGAAGTATAGTTCAGCCTTTTCCATCTTTAAGTACTTCGAGACCTAGTGTGGGCCATGTAGAGATCTCACCACCATCACTTTCCAGACTATTTGTAGTTGCCCACTTCTCCAGCAAAGAAAAAAAAAACTCTGGCAACTATACTCGTGCAAAAGAATAGACATCTTCCACAAATCAGTGGAATCAGGTGCAAATGAATGGAAAATAGTCTCAGCATTTTCACTGCACTACTGCATGGGTTAATACTTCTTTGGTGACAATTACAAAAAAATGTCATGATCCCAACTTCTGAGCACATGCTTCATGTACAGAAAAATCCCATTTTCATTCTCTCACATTTTTTGAGAGAACTGTATGAAAAATCTCTTTTTGAAAACCTGAATAAAGGAAAATACTGGGCTACATGGGTATGTAGACTGACATTGTCTAAGGCTGCACCTACACTGTTGAATTATTGCAGTTTGGAACCACTTAAATGGCCATGGTCCAATACTATCAAATCATGAAAGTTGTAGGTTTAAGCGGTACCAGCACTTCTTAGTAGAGAAGGCTGAAAACTATAACTCCCATAATCCCATAACATTGAACCATAGCAGTTAAAGTTGTGTCAACGTACATTACTTCTACAATGCAGATGCACTCTAAGGCAACTTCCTACATATGGTAGTACATTAAAAACAAAGAGATAACACTCTCAACTCTCGTTGTGTCTTAAGTCTGGCACTGTGGATTTAGCTCAGCCTTATTTTTACTTCTCAGGATGTAGGGTATTCTCAGTTTCCGTTCCTTTCTAAACTTTTTAAAAACTGCAGTGCCACAATGTTGTCTGAAGTGTATTGTCAATGGCTTAGTGTTGTGTTACCTTCGCATATTTCCATTTTCTATTTTAGTTCTGAAAATGAAAAACCACTTTTCTATCTCACTGGTTTAAAAATGCAAGTAGGGATGGCAAATCACAATCTGTCTCCCTAGGCTATAAGATTTGAAGGCCTGATTGGGAGTTTTCTTCCATTCTTGGGTGTGTCAAGAATGCTTGGTAACTGGATTGAGACGCTGGGTGTGCCTGCTTTTGTGTTGCTTGCCCAGACTCCAATTACTAATGCTGTGATGCCAACTTTTTCATCATGGAATCTTGATTCAACAAACCACCATGTAGTTAACAGCTCTCAACATGTCAGGGAAGATTAGTAGGCTTGCAGAAAGAAAGAGAAATGTGTGTTTTTCAAACTTTCTGTGATACACCTCCTACACATGCTAGAAAGGCCTTCAGATAGGCACTGGATCCAAATACCAGTGCAAAAGAAAACAGTACTTTTTCTATTCCCACAATACCTTTCACCACAAAGAAAACTGTGTCAAAGAGAGAAGGAATAACTACACTGGGGAGTTGCAACATAGGGTCCTCTTTGGATTGTTGCTGTCAGGAGGGGGATGGAAACATCTTGTGCTGTGCCCTGATCACCAGTATGGCTGCTGGCTGTTGAGGGAGTCTTTGGGGAATGGGCTTTTGCAATTGTGGCAGTAGCGCTGTGATTGTTTCATGCCTTATGACAACTCTAAGGTGAACTATCATGGGATTTTCCTGGTAAAATTTTCCTTTTTCTAAGGCTATGAGAGTGTGATTTACCCAAGGTCACCCATTGAATCCACGACTGAGCTTGGTCTCCAGAGTCATAATTCAATGCTCAAATTGAATATTGAAATATTGGCTCGCTGTGATAGTAAATAAACATGGATACTGAGCTGTTACAAACGAGCAAGTCTAGGTTGCTCAATATGCCAAGTTTACATCTGTATCTCTGCATTCTTTTCCCCTTTCATGGGTGATGCAAATCCCTTTTTTGCTGGTGATTTGAAAATCAGAGCTTTGTCCATGACAGAGTGAATTTAGACTGACCAGTCCACAAAATGGTAAAAGATCTAGAAACCAAGCCCTTTGTGAAATGGCTTAGGGAGCCAGGCATCTTTAGCTTGGGGAGGATTGGTCAATTCCTAAATTAGAACTGATCCTGGCAAATGTATTTTTGAACTTTGGCAAGCAAATCTACTGGCAAATACTCTTATGACAAATAGCACCTTAGCATATCACTATATCTGTGTTAACTGTCTTATTATAACCTGAGACCCATTCACACTACAGAATTATAGCACTATAATAGTGTAATAGTGGTGTCACTAGAGATGGTATAACCCAGTGTGAGAACTCATAATGCCATCCTCATGGACCTATTCCCTTTCCAGACCATTCAGAACCTTTAGTAATAGTTTTTGTACTAATGTTACCCATAAATCATAATTCCTGTACCTCATTAGATATCTGGAGGACCTTAAGATGGTAGTGCATGTGCTGGTAACCTCAAGGTTGGCCTTCTGCAATGCGCTTTATATTGGGCTCCCTTTGTACCAAGTTCGGAAGCTCCAGTTGGTTCAAAATATGGCAGCCAGAATGATTACAGGAACACCCAGGAGTGAACATATTACACGAATCCAAAAGTCACTCCATTGGCTGTCAATTAGTTTCTGGGCAAAGTACAAAGTGTTGGTTTTGACTTTTAAAGCCCTACATGGTTTGGGTCCAGGTTACCTACAGGATCACCTTTTCCCATACAATCCGTCCCAAACATTGACGCCTTCTGGGGGGCATCTACTCCAGCCAGCCTGAACCCAACTAGTGACCGTCACCCAGGGGGGCTTTTTATCAGCTGCTCCAAGACTGTGAAACGACCTGCCGGAAGAGCTCTAACAGCTAGATCAGCTGTTGCAATTTAAGACACAAATGAAGACCTATCTCTTCCGGCAGGCCTACCCATACAGTTTTAATGATACATTTTAAACTTGCATCTTATGTTTAATATTAGCTTTGTGCATTTTAATATATTTTTGTGGAAATATGTTTTAATATCT